GGCACAGAGAATATATGAGAAGTAAAAATTTTAAAAAAAAATAATTTTAGAACTCAGATTCTAAAGGAAAACATGGACTGAATGCATCTGCCAAATAGTGATTAATTCAAAACCTTGTCATTCAACGTCTACAGTCATTTGTCACAGCAAACACTCAAACCTCTACCAAGTAGTTTAGACCAAACGCTAACTCATTGGGGCTGTAAACGCGTCAAACTAATTCACTCCCTATCCTTAGTTTAGGTGTTGACACACGCCAGTCTTGAAGCAACAATTTGCATTTAGAAGGAGAAAAACGCATTCTGAACATCCTAGCAATTGCACTAAGCTTCGACGATGACATTTTATGGACATTCAAGACGTTTGTGTATCCGAGTAACTGTGTAAATTCCGATGGTGTGATAGACGAGATGAATTCATTTATAGTGAAAACCAAAATACCATAATTCTATGTGAAAAAATAGTCACGTTAGTCACTATAAACGATCGTATATACTACGTGGCAAAGAGAGGTGTGTTTAATGAATGCTTGGATTACATTTCACAATTATCACAGTGAGAGATAGAAAACAAATGTAAACAAAAAAGTTGAAGTATTAGTGTCAATGACAATAGAAATTGAACAAGAAATATAGTTTAGTAAACCACATGAAATCATAGAATGAAATGTAGAAAGCAACAGCCAAATGAAAGAGTTAGAGGAACATATCATTTGAAGTCACAATTTTATCTTATAAGACTGAAAATATTAGGACCTAGTGAAATGTACCGAAAAATTACCTTATATAATCAATGAATATATATATATATATATATATATATATATAATAAACAAAATTATTAATCTATCAGACTATACAAAAAGCCATTTCTCCTCCCCTTCCCTCTACCTCATTAACTTTACTCTTAATAGATAATTTACAGCAGACTGGGTCAGGAAGAAAGAATAATTGGCTAATTGGTTACTATAGGGATTAGCAAAAGAAATAGAAGCCCGCATACCCATGAATGAGATGGTGTACAAATACCTATATGGAATTTGTCGATAAAACAAATCGAGATTGCTATATATATATATATATATATATATATATATATATATATATATATATATATATATATATATATATATATATATAACACCGAAATTCGACCACTAGAACTACTCACAACAATCACTTAACTTATTCCCAACCACCAGAAAATAATGGTTTAAACGAAAACCAATACTACTAAAACTACTACTAATAGCAATAATAATAATAATATGAGGAAAAGTTTCATTGTCAAGAAATAGTTTCGATGTAATTTTATAAAAAATACATCGAACTTTTTGAACAAGTTTTACATATGCTTGCATAAAAGTGGACTAAAATTTCCACAGCGCTCATCTCTGGATAAAATGAGTAACAGGATTGTTACCTGTAAACATTTTGATGAAACTGATCATTTCATCATTATTTCTCTTGTAATAAGCAAATCACAATCTCTTTATCTTGAATGCATCGGTTAGTGTGCTTAGTTTTTATTAAGATTAGATTTACAAGCTGGTTTTGTGAAAAACTCCATATTTGCTAGGTTTCTGCTAGTAAACATAGTTTAGCATACAAAATTGCCTTCATAACACAGAATACAGCTACAGTTGAATACTAGTGAGTATGTGTAAGACAACGTTATCTGAATACACTAAGTCAAGAAGCTTCTCAATATAACAGATTAATACTACTACGAACATGCGCTTTTTTACGAGCTATTTCCAGTATCATCGATAACAAAATTGAGGAATTATATTTAAATTTGTTAATAATTCCAAACAATGAAGAAATAGTTACATCTTTTCTCTATAGTCGTAGTATTTTGGTACAGAGCAGTCACAACCAATGAGCCAAAAGAAGCTCTGGTACAAACAAGCATAATGAATCATTATTTACAGTGAGTGATGCTGCCTAAACGTTAGGCGGGGGATAAAGATCTGGCCGATACATTCACGGCCTGAAAGAAAATTGATACACTAAACAGTCCTTCAAGAATTCTTAAAACCAAATTATTATTAATTTATTTGAAAACATAAATATTAGTACAAAGGGGCACCAAATACATATTCGCCACACAAGTCACTTGATTCGAGTGTGTGGGCAGTGGTACTGCTAGGGTGCCCAAACCGAAGTAGGTGGTTTTCTTAGAGGGCCATACCCCGGATCCTTTGACCTAAAGGTTTGATCCACAAGGCAATGGAGCAACGTTAAAAGATGCAGTCCCATGATAGCCGGTGACCAACAGTCGGTTCACACACCATTTTTTCACTCAGGATACTGGAACCCATGTGCACCATTGGTTTGGAATGAGGGTTTTCCAACTCCCGTAGGTAGATCCTCCATATCCACTAACCCAGTGAAAGAGATGGACATTCACTTTTCGTCTTTACAATTTCGTTAAGAACAGTAATGCCACGAGAAGGCTGTTAGTAGAACTACCCTGTTAGTGGATGTATGCGCGTGGCCATGTGAGAGCATTTCGAGAGGGAGAGTAGACTCCTCTCTCCCCGCTGTATCTGGGCATTTGGGGTGCCTTAATACCAAATAGTTTGAATTAGATTAGGAAAGTATATACTCTGATAATTATTACACGCTTTACATAAGCCATATTTAAAGAAATATAAGACAATTATTTCATTACAAAAGGATTGAAAACTCAAATTCCTAAGTTTTTCGGGTGCACGTTTCCCGTACCTAGTGACTTATGAAGCCTCAGAAGTTGGGAATCTATTCTGAACTGTGCTTCGTTGACTGGATTAGTAGTCAGAGATAAAGAAAAACAGGAAAGTGAAGAACATTGCAGAAGTAGTTGAACTGTCTATTGAAGTGCTCCTCCTAGCGTTTAAAACGCCTCTAAATATTACCTATTGGGGTACTATCATCCTACAGATTTTCTAAATACCACGTCATACTCCGATAGTGGCTCGGATGGGTCGGAAAAATTGAGAATTTAGATTAAGCTGCTAAAGCCAGCGTACTAGGGTGTGGCCCTCTAAGAAAAGCACCTGCTTCGGTTTGAGCACCCGGGCAGTATCACAGCCCTCACACATATCGAATGAGATTTGTGTGGCGCATATGTATTTGGTGCCTCTTTGTACCAATATCTATGTGTTGAAATAAATAAATAAACTAACCAACCATGAGCGGTGGATCTCGATGTTCTTACGCAAGCTCCATCAAACAGGTGTTTACCAGAATAAATAAGAGGGCATCGGTAGGTTGGATGGAGACTGTAAAAACATGGTATTTACATGCCAGTCGTACAGAGCGCCATAAAGTATCCAGGTAAAAGTACACGGAGAAGCCTCGTTGAGTAGACAAATGTAGTACGTTATTAGAATATAAGATGCAATGTCTAAGATTAAGATAACATATGTTGCGAAGCTTTCAAGAGTCGCATCCAAACCTATCTATCGTTTAATGTACATGATGTTGTGAACGCTAACAGTGGCAAGATTAGATTAAACATGGTGACCCAGAATAGCCGCATTAGGTATCGCATTCGTGAAAAGACTCAAATACCAACAAATCAGTGACTTGAGATCCCTTAGAGAAAACGAAAATTCAACAAGGATAAGTAGAAATAACACAACATCCTACATGTTAACATTGGTAGCATAAAATGACTAAGTAGCTATATGGATTATTTGGTGAAATACATACCCCTGATAAACGAGTCGACATGAAAGTTGGAGACCCGAATGCAACAACGAGAAAGCTTACGTAAATAGCAAATTTAGAACTATTTTATTTACAAAAAAAAATACCTTCCAGCAAAAAATAATAATAATAAGGAATCTACATTAGGTCCAAATAAAGGGATCTTGCAAGGCAATAAACATCATTTAGATCACTGAACGAACTGATACGACCGAGGGGGGGTCTGCTCTCCCTCTCGAAATGCTCTCACATGGCCACGCGCATACATCCACTGACAGGGTAGTTCTACTAACAGCCTTCTCGTGACATTACTGTTCTTAACGAAATTGTAAAGACGAAAAGTGAATGTCCATCTCTTTCACTGGGTTAGTGGATATGGAGGATCTACCTACGGGAGTTGGAAAACCCTCATTCCAAACCAATGGTGCACATGGGTTCCAGTATCCTGAGTGCAAAAATGGTGTATGAACCGACTGCTGGTCACCGGCTATTATGAGACTGCATATTTTAACGTTGCTCCACTTCCTTGTGGATTAGAGCCATCTGGCTTCAGCATTCATGTGGTCAAGTAAATCAAATGAATCTGCATAGATTATAACTCATCAAAAAAAACTACGATGAATGTTTCGCGATTTTATGGCAGCGATTCTAATGAGAATTTAATTAGTTATTGACAATATTCTTAGAAAGTTTGAGGACGGGATATTTTAGAAAGGATCCATAAAACATGAGTTTTAAAGTAAAGCCAACAAAGCTACACTATAAAGTACGAACTATTCAGCAATATATACTGAGGTCTATGTTAATTACACATTTTTAAGTTGGCATGTTTTACTAGAAGACAGAAATATATGCCAATATTAGGCAAACAGAAACGCATTTTGCTGATAAACACTCCCTTAGACAAACGTGACTAGTGAAGTACAACACAATAATTAGGTTTATTAATGCTAATTTTACTTCAGTTATAGTTTAAAAGAGGTAGAAATATATCAAGGCGTAATAAGTACATACCTGACCTTCACCCTCAATCACCAGACCCACTTTATCTTCAGTTAAGTTTTCCGACGACTTTTTCTGCTCATCTTCTTCACCTTCGTCTTTATAAACCTTAACCTCATCGGTACATGCAACTTCCATAAGTACCGAATACACAGAAAGCGACCTTAGCCTCCTCCACTGTACCGCACACCTTGAGAACAAGGTGAAAAAAAACCTACATGCATTTCATTGAAAAAAGCCTGATAACATTATCCAACTGAAAATACTGATATGAAAAATTTATCATAAAGTAAAATACGATTTCTGTGTTTTGTGCTATTGCTTTAAGCGGTAGATTCAAGTCTAGTTGACCTATACAAATCCAACGTAAGCTGATTTGTTTATATTATGTAGCCTTTAAACTACTTCTTTTTAGTTCAGATTGGGTTCCATTGTTAAGCAAACCGCCCTAATAATTACTAATTATATACCTAGACGTAAAGTGTTGCCTCAAAATGGATGCAACCAAAGCTATTACGGAATTAACTGCCACTGAACAGAGGATCATCAAAATTAAATCAGATATCGATCAATTCGATGAACTTCTAAAAAGTGTGACCAGTGGATATGGTGACAAAGACAGTCTTAATGAAAAATATCATAACTTAATACTCTCTACTAAGGATTTGTCGTCTCACCTGGCAGTTATTCAAAAGTAATTCAATTTTTATCATACTATATTTGACTGTTTCTAATTTATTACATTTACCAAAACCTCAATAAAATTTATTGGTGGATTGTTGTCAATCTCATCCACACAGAAAAATTCGTTTAGTCTGTAATTACTGACATTTCTCGAAGTCAGCGTTTGACTATATATATGCGACCGTGTCTAACATTAAAAGATGAAGAGAAGTATATTAGTATTGTACATACTACTCGAACGCTACTGGTAAACTGTCACCAGAATTAATGGCTTCGAATGGTGTTCGTCTAGGTTGTCTGGCTTTCCAATTTCTATTTACCTTTATCATATGCACCTTCAAAGATGATACTCTCATCACCAGATTTGTCAAGAATCGACCTCCTACCAAGAGATTCTTTTTTATTTAGAATACATAGATGATGCGGCCGTTTTTTTAACGGACTGGTAAAGTACAGTTTTCTGATCGCCTTCAGCAACGAAACCAGCATGCTTGAGATACGATTCTCTCTTTAATACAAACTGTTTATTCAAGGTTGGTTCACATCAACGCCTAAAGTAATGATAAAGAGTGAAGTAGTTATGTGTATTAACCACTTCATTTATCTCAAAAGTCCCATCAATCCTAGTGTGTTGATGAAATTTCCGGGTGAATTCGGAAATGCTGGTTGGTTTTCGTCAATATCCGCTAATTGTAGAGTATTTTACTGTTCAGCCGTTCACTCCTTTCTAGTTTTCAGTTACAATCACTGATTGTACCAATATATAAGAAAGCGTCGAAATCATCCTGTGACAACCATAGAGGGATTAGTTTGACTAACATAGCATCTAAAATACTAGCCTCAATAATTATCGGACGCCTTACTAAGACTCGTGAACTGCAAACACGACAAAATCAGGCTGGCTTCAGACCTGGTCGTGGCTGCATCGACCACATATTCACCATTCGTCAGGTTCTAGAACACAGGCATACGTATCGGCATCCGACAATGGTGATCTCTCTTGACTTAAAAGCAGCATTTGACTCTGTAGACCGCGAGATTCTGTGGCAATGTCTGTCATTGAAAGGCGTACGTCAGAAGTATATAAATCTTGTGAAGGCTCTTTACTCGAACACTACTAGTCGAGTCAGAGCTTATGGCGAACTGTCATCTACTTTTGCAACCTCAAACGGTGTCCGTCAAGGTTGTTCACTTTCTCTATTTTTGTTTAACTTCATCATAGACCTATTGATGGAAATAACATTCTCGTCTACTGAATTCTCGGGTATTGATCTCCTTCCAGGAGGTCCACTTATCGACTTAGAATACACAGATGATATAGTCCTGTTTAGTGAAGACGCTGATAAAATGCAGTCTTTTGATAGCACTGAACAACATTGCTAGGATTTTTGGAATGCGTTTCTCCCCCTCTAAATACAAGTTGTTGCTTCAGGACTGGCCTGCGTCAACACCTGCCCGAGCTTCAAATTTTGGGGAAACTCCCGAAGTTAAATGACCTTCACCAATGTTTGGGGAAATCCCCAAAATCAAATGGCCTTGATCAAGGTTAAAGGGGAATTTTGGAGATTTCCACAGGTCTGAGGACATTTCGGGGTTTTTGTGCCATTTCCCCAAAATTTGGAGCTTGGGTAGACTAAGGATAGGGAGTGAAGTAGTAGAAGGCATTGATAACTTCACTTATCTTGAAAGTCTGATCAGCCCTCATGGGTTGGTGTCTGAGGAAATCTCAGCACAGATTTGAAAAGCTTGTTTTACTTTTGCCAACTTACGTCACCTATGGCAAAGGCGAGATATCCGTCTATCGATTAAGGCGCGAGTATACAGTGCGGCAGTTCGTCCCGTTCTAATTTAAGGCTGCGAAACATGACCATTGAGAGTAGAAGATACTCATAAGTTACTAGTATTTGACCACAGATGTCTTAGAACTATTTCTTACATCTGCTGGAATAACCGATTAAGTAATAGTGAGGTTAGACGTAGGGTATTAGGGAATGATGGTAAATCAGTTTATGAGGTTGTGAATCTTCATCGACTGAGATCGTTGGGCCTCTTTTTGTGTATGTCTGAACACCAATTACCACGACGCGCATTGCTGACTAGTGTTGGGGATGGTTGGAAAAAAGTCAGGGGCGGCCAAACTAAAATGTGGCATCAGTGCTTGAAGTCACTAACTAGTGTGAGCCATGTTGATAGACGCAGACTACTTGGTTAGGGTCCGCGTGACCATCATAACTAGCGATCGGAGACTAGATAACACGGCTCAAAATCGATCATATTGGCGTAGGTGTATACACTGTTTCTCTTCCCTTAAACCTTGAAATTAAAATTACTTTGTACCTTGCTTTCTATGACCTAATTCTTTCTTCCTGTACTGTATCCTTATATGCAATCCTTCCTTTATATATTACTACCATTGCAGTAATCACTTCTATGAATTTGGTGTTCATCTTGTTGTGCTAATTAGGTGTGGCAACTTGGACATATGTGCCTGGTCCTACATTGTAGCTGACTGACTTTTGGCTGTGAAGCGTTTAACATAGGGTATATTCGTAATTAACCAGTATTCGATCATGTCTTCAATTTATTATTTATTTATTTAAACACATAAACATTGGTACAAGAGAGCACCAAATAAATATGCATCACATATTTCATTCGATCGATGTGAGGGCTGGGATGCTACCAGGACGCCCAAACCGAATCAGGTGGTTTTCCTAAGGAGGCCACACCCCGTGCCTCTGACCTAGTTGTCTAATCCACAAGGCAGTGGAGCACTGTTAGGAAATGCAGTCCTATGGTAACCGTTGACCAAAAATAGGTTCATACTTCGTTCGTTCCCTCAAGATCCTGGAACCCGTGTGACCATTGGTTTGGAATGAGGGTTTTCCAACTCCCCTAGGTGGACCCTCCCTATCCACCATGCTGGTTTAAGCGACAGACATTCACTTTTCGTCCTCTCAATTTCGCAAACAATAGTAATGCAGTGAGATGGCAGTAAGTAGGACTTCCCTGACACTGTCTTCAAACTATTACTCGTATATTTTGAGATCACTGGGTTAGGATTTTAAGATTAGACATGTAGTTGTTGATAAGTATGGCAATCCATTGACGAAGTAGTGAATCTTTATCAACTGAGATAGTTAAAAAATATATTTCATATACCCACCCACCAACTACCTCAATGTGCAAGTACATTATCAGAAAGATAGGGGTGAATAAACAAAGACGTGATCAGTCCGTGAACATATCGACTATTGAACTGAGCCACGTAAGTAGGTTTAGGCTACTTGTTCGCCCTTCCCTTAGGCTATAGGTTTCCAAATTTCTCTTGAGTAAATTAATATTACTGTTGGAAGATTTTTATATTTTATATTTTCTCGAATCGCATCTTGGATGCCCAATCTTTTCTATTAACGCTAATGTTGTTATTACCTCTACTACTGTAGGATTCATCTTGACAGTGTCGAAATAATAGTAATTAAGTCATTCTCAACAAATCGAAATTTCTCCCCACATTTCAACCTACTAGCTGCTTTATTCGTCCTCATTTTAATTAGGTAGTTAGTTGTAAGCCGGTATTATTGATGACAGAGCTTCCATTAACATAATCTTTCCGTTTCCTTAACTAAAAATATACCAACCTTTTTATTTTAGCCTAGTTTAAAGTAGTAATTTCAACAGTTCATTTCATTTCATTTGATCTGTTTATAGAGTGATTGAAGTTGGATCACATATTCCTGACCTACGTGCACGAGCTCGTACTCTTAACACTCAAGCCATAAACCAATTAGGGCGTTTGCGAAAACTAGGCGGCATTGTTCAACAGCATGTTCGTAATGAAAAAAATGTGTTCTCAGTCAATTATCAAGGACAGTACCCGTCACTTGGTATCTTCTCAATTGACCGTAAGTTATCTCAAATATACTTTTCTTTAATGCATACGTATCTTACTGATTAATTCCTTTATATGTAATAAATAAGTTGTCGATTTAGTGACCTCATGATTCGGATCAATTTGTAGTATCCATTGTTATTTTGTATGTTGTGTCTCTTATTCTTCACTGTGTATTATTCCATTCCTTTAAACCATTTTGCTGGTAACTTTCTTATTACTCTTAAAATGGTTCCATTACTTTCCGTAGGTTTCCTCCCATCACTTGAAGCATGCCTAAGAAGCTCGTATCAATGGAAACCATTTAATGTTTTAGTCAATGGTTATATGATTTTGTATTAGATTGTAGTTCTTGTCATTCTAATTCTACCCTTAATCTACTCTATTTACCATAGGACATAAAATTAAGGAAATGACACATTGTTGGGATATTCAGAAAAATATCCCAATAATTATCATGTTAAGTCTAATAGTGTCCTTGGACTTTAAATGGACATTCCCTATTGGTCAATATTTATTTCAGTTGTACAAATGTTGTTTTCTATTTTATGGTACGATGTGGTCTGTTTGATTGGTATATAAACAGAGTATGTCTGAAATATAATGATTCATATCTCAGAGGCTGAGACTTGCGTTCTGGACTCAACTGGCTGGGCTAGACAGGGAAGCAGGGCCAATCGGGACTCTAGGCCGTTCTTAAGTGTTTTACGCGTCTTTGGTCCGATCGATAATACGCTACCCTCTAATCTGCACTCACGTTATAACACACATTCTTATGAAAATTATTGCGTGGTACATATATAACACCATGCTCTCTCGAAGGAGACAATCCTTTCGGGAAACTCTAGATTATTTCAGAAGGAATGGGAGTCTGTGAGTGTGTTTGTACCCGTCCCTACTGACTATAGTTCAAGTGAGGCATGGGTTTTCTGGTCTTCAAAGATCTAAACGCCCAGGCATTGAAAACAGATGATAATTCTTGAGGAAAGATGGAAGAACACAAAAAGTTGTTTCAGAATTGGTTCTCACCAGCTACCTGTTTGACCATAGGTGGCAGTGTAAATGAATGTTTAATTTACTTCTCTTATTTCGAAGATCTCATCAGTCCTGGTTGGTTTTTGTCTGATAAAATCTCTGGACGGATCCAAAACTTTATCTCGGTACATGGCAACTTCCGGTGTAGGTGAGATGTCCGTCTCTCAGCTGGTTAGAGGATATAATTAGCACCAATCCTCTTTGCATTTATTGTATAAACGGGAAGCGCGCTAGGAATTCCGATGACTTGTATAAGCTCCAAGTGTCCGATCATAGCTTCTAAATTCAGATTGAAAAATCTTATTAATTATCTATTTTCCTATTTTTTAGAAGAACCTTTAGAACAGAAACATATTTCTTTAGAATCAAAGGCAGATATCCAAAGAGCGCATGAAATGGAACAGTTGGAATCTGATATAGTTCAAGTAAACGAACTTTTCACAACACTTGCTACATATATTCACGATCAAGGAACATTAGTTGATTCTATTGGAGATAATATAGAAGTAGCTTATGAACAGGTAGGTTTTTTGCAGTTTATGTTCATAAAGTCGTTACTTTTACGTGATCCCTGGTGAAAATAAGTACATACACTGTCTAAAATTCATTTTGAATGTTATAGTGTTGAGTTGGTCACTAAATCATGAAGTGACCTTCTATCATCTTCAGTTTCCCAGGTGATTGTGATATTCCCACTTGATGTTTAATAGACGACTACAATTAGTAGTTGGAAAAATAATATGGTATGGTTCGAAATCGGTCTCCAACCTATAATCGCCTATAGTCTGAGGACTCTTAGTAATTCCTCTGCCTAACATAAGCGGTAGGATATGTTTTTGCCGGGAACATTTTGAAAAATAACAAGATTTCACATAGTTCGTCATCTTAGAGCCGTCATTCACTAGGCATACTACAAACTGGTTAGAAGTTTCGGAAATTGATAAGTCCTGCAAATTGAACGCTAGATATTGGTTTCCTAAGCTATTCTGTAACCCCCAAGCTAGAACTATACAGAGCGACCTGAACAACGAGAGAGAAGACGCAAAGTATGCGAGAAGTACTTTACTCCAAGGCTCATTTCAATACAGAAAATATAGGGTTTTTATAATATTTTAAATGTCCTTGAGTTGTTCGAAGATTCTGGAATGCTACTAAACATAGTAGCAGTATAGCAATCAGTCAATCAAAACCTCTGCATGTGACGTTTCACTTCCTTGATATTTTTGGCTAAAACTTCAAGTGAACGCTGATTAAGTGGAACACTTCTTAGTGTTTTTCTGATGCTGGCTTGTCTTCTGCAGTAACTTTACCTCTAAGGTTCTTTATCATCATCCAGATTTACCATTTTTCATATGATGTGCATTTATTTAACTTTGTTAACAGTTTACATTTATTTTTTAGGTTCAAAGTGGCACAGAACAATTAAGCACTGCTACAAAACATCGAAAATCAGCACGACGAAAAAAGTGCATATGTCTTGGTCTTATATTATTGATTTTATTTATTTTAGCTTTAGCAATAGGATTATCTTTAAGACAATAAATAATTCTCAAATTGTTGTCATTTGGTTTTCGTATTTATTCTCATAAACTATTTTCATTCTATCACTAAGTTGATTTTGTTCAAACATACTTTTAACTTTTACAGAAATCAATTGCTTAATGTCTTTCATAATTCATCATTATTGAACTATAATCTTTCTTTATTATCCTTCATCATTTGATGATGATCTGATATTCATATGTGAATTTGATTGTATAGTCACAAAGTTATACTAACCAGTGATTGTTTGCTTCTGTGATTTGTATCATGATGGGATAGTAGGAAGATTTTATTTCCTCGTAGAGAATGGTAATGTTTAATGATAGTCAAACCTTCAAAGTATCGTATTTTGTTATCTAGTAAATGTAAATTGTATTTGTCAACGTTTCAAAAGTTGGAAAGTAAAGCTGATGTTGAAACGTGTATTTACAAAACGCTGCTTTCTCCCTAGTCATTGTGGATTGAAAATATGCCAGGGGTTTTGTTACGTGAGAAAGTTTTCAAAGTTTGAAATTAAACATGAAGACTTGGGGACTGTTACAATGCTGGATATACGATGAAAGACGACGACACGATGTGGTAACTGTCCTCAACTGAACTGATACCAAATGACAGCTAGTAGGGATAATCCTAAAAAAGCGGGGTTATATATAAAAAGTGCTAGAAGTCATCTGACGAATAAGCAATCGCAACATTCAGGTTTCTTATCTCACTCGGTCTCCTAGATAATTAGAACCTGATTGTTAGATTTAATTTTTGCCGAAATATCTACTTGAGGTGGTCAAGTTGCAATTAAAGAAAACAAATGTGACCTCTGATCTTGCTGCCTCATTCGATTATCCTGAGTAAGCATTCTTGTTTTTCATACTAAGATCAACGCAGATGGTCTGAGAAGTTGACTGATCTTACAAATGACATCAACCTAAAGTAGTTCATTAATCTCAACTTGTGAACCGTGGTGGGTCAGTAACTTCGTATATATGTATCTCAGTGATACAATTAAGCTTTTATTCACCAACATTCCGGTTTCTTTAGACTTGGTCTTGCTTAATACAAACGAAAACCTTCTCTAATGAGTCCGCCTATATTAATCCAGATATAAATGCTTTCACTGAGAGTGCGAGCAGCCTCGCTCATCTTTTTATTAGTAATGACGCGGAAATTATTGTATTGAATGTGATTCGGTAACTGATGTGACCGATCCCCAACAAAATCCAGTAACATTCTGTTCATAGTCCTCCCGATCATTGTAGCCCTTAACAACATCTTGTTAAGCATTACAATCATTAGGACAATATACGTACAAACAAACATATAATTCAATAATGAGTTACTTGAACTCGTTTATCGATTTTGCAAATTCTATACGAACATTAAATTACTGATCAATCACTGGTTCATTTCGTTCAAGTTTATTGATTGATTGAGTACTCAAAAGGACATGTGATCTACTGTTGTTATTATTATGGATGCCGTTCACTTAGTGGTTGGTGTATCAATAATTTCTCTCACAGTCTTGATTTCTTTGTGTCGTCAATATAAGAGTGCTGTTCCGTTGTCATGAGTAATAACCACTTCTTACGCAGTCAGTTGTACTAATAGCAATAAACTGTGCTGGCGGTGTGCTTGAATATCTGGACTACTTGTCCCTGTTCTCTAGATGTTTCAAAAAGTTATGTCTCCATTTGTCTTAACACTGTGTCGATTAATCACACAGGCTATTTAGATGAGTTTATGAGAATTTTACGGCCTTTCGTTGTACAAGTTACAAAAAAAGCACAATCGGAGACATCATGGTAGTTGGCAATATCCACTGAAATGAATGAACATTATTCAGATGTCGATTCCTGAACTGCTTACATCTAACTGGTGATCACTAATTGACAATTCCTACTAAGTCTCAACATGTATCATTATTGTGATACAATCACAATTCAAGAATTCTAATTGAATTATTTGCAAGGCATTTGTTCAGTAACACTACAAAATCTTAATATTTATCGTCATGAATGATCAAGCAATAACATAAGGAAACCATACACATAGTTCCCTTTATTATCCTAAAGAGAGCAAGATTTATTTATTTTAACACATAGATACTAGTACAATGAGGCACCAAATACATATGCGCTACACAGATCTCATTTGATATGTGAGAGAGCTTTGATACTACCCGGGTGCCCAAACCGAATCAGGTGGTTTTCATGGGGGGCCACATCCGGAGCCTTCAGCCTGAAGCTTTGATCCACAAAGCAGTGGAGCATCGTGAGGAGATGCAGTCCCATGGTAGCCGGCGACCAACAATAGGTTCTGTTGTGGATGCGGAGGAATAGACCAATAATTATCATGTTAAGTTCAATGGTGTCCTTGGACTTGAAATGGACATTTTCTATTGGTCGGTATCTGTTCACTCGTTGAATATTGTACAAAATGTTGTTTTCTATTTTATGGTACGATGTGGTATGCTTGATTGGTATATAAACAAAGTATGTTTGAAATATAATGATTCATATCTCCGAGGCTGTGGCTTGTGTTCTGGACTCAACTAACTAGGACAGACAGCGAAGCAGGGCCAATCAGGGCACTAGGTCGTCCCTTACGTGTTAACCGTGACACTGTCACCGAATCGATCAATAAACGCTGCTTATCAAAACCTGCAGTCACACCCGTCATAACAGGTTCATAATCCATTTGTCCCCTCAGGATACCGGAGAACATGTGCACCATTGATTTTGAATAAGGGTTTTCCAACTCTCCCCTAGGTGGATTCTCCGTGTCCACTAACCCGGTCAAAGCGCCAGATACTCGCTCTTCGTCTTCTCAATATCCTAAACAATACCCCCGCCACGAGAAGGCAGTTAGTAGGACTTCCCTGTCAGAGGCTATGATCGCGTGGTTATGTGAGAGCATTTGGAGAGGGAGAGCGGACTCTCGGCCGTACCAGGGCATTTGGAGGCAAGAACGTAAATTGGTGAAGAATAATAAATGGGTTCATTTTATTTCGTTACGCTCTCATCAGCTGCTTACAACCTTTAATATTTGAAAATGAACGTTATTACATATATCGACATACTTAGACGTAAAATAGTGATCAAAGATGAATATGTGTATCATGATGTAACGAAGGTGTCAATCGGGTTAATAAGATGATGAAAAACCTTTTGTTCCGGAGAAATAAAGTTTGAAAGGGAAAGTTCCAGAACATTGAATTAATGATTAGAACTCATGGAGTTAACAAACATTAGATAATTGTGTAATGAACTAACTGAAATAGTAATAAAGAAAGATATGAATTGAAGAAAAATGGAGTTGGATTGTTTGTGAATCACGTTGAAGGACTTCAGTGTATCGACTTCATGTCCTGTCTCCTAGAACTTTCCCTCCCAAACTTTATTTATTAACTCTATTGAAATCTTCGTTACATTATGACATATATTCATCTTTAATCACCCCCTTATGTATAAGTATGTCAATATCTGTAATGTTGATTTTCAAATATTACAGGTTGTAAGCAGCTGATGAAAACCTGACAAAATAAAATGAATCCATTTATTATTCTATACCAATTATTCATTCTTGGACTCTTTAAAGAGGACACCTGTTGAATAACTTTATACTGACAATTCTAAATTGATATCAGAAGGCGTTTTGTGGATATTGTAGTAATTTCAATGGTTGAAATCATGAGTCAATTGAAGTTAGACCACTGTGGAAAACCTGGAAGGCCATTTCGTCCTATTGTAGGACTCCTTAAACAATGCGCATCCACAATACCGCCTCGCCAGATTCGAATACAGGACCTAACAATCTCTCATGCAAACGCTTAACCTGTAGACCGGCATTCAAACGGTGTTATTGTACCAAAAATAGAATATAATGAATAAAGCCATTAATAATAATAATAATAATAATAACTATATCAAATCCAAGTCACATTAATAACATACAACGTGGATACTACAGTGAGAGAACATATACATTTGTATAGATCAAATGTTGTTCTCCCTATCAACAAAATAAACAATAATCTTTATTTCTAACAGAAAATTGTAACAAAATAAGATTAGCAATTAAAATATACCTTGAGATGGATAATACTCATTCTATTAATATGGTACTAATCATTGAATTATACAAAAAGATCATACAAACCATATAAAATAAACAAATATGATTTGGATTCCAGAAGAATTTGTTCATATATAAATAGAAAAAACAAAAGGGGGGGAACAAACCCACTTAGTGACAATAATAAATTTCAATGAAAGACTAACATTTTTGGCAGTTTTAGAAAAAAAGTGGGCGGGGGGGGGGTAGGGGAAAGTGAGCAGCCAAAAGATTTCGGTCAGAATGTACATAGAAAAACTGTGAACACTGTACATCTTTTGTTTGATTACGGATACTACTCATTGGCGAATGTTGTTAATTCATTGAGATATATATATGGTACTTTAAGTCAATGGTGAGGAATCCAATGATGCACGTTGAAATAATTCAATTAAATAATTTAAACCATATAGGAAATTTTCATCTTTTATTTGACTACAATCGGTTACTAATTCCCAACGTGTAAAATCAATTAAATATACTAAAACATATTCATCTGCTTCATTATTATCTATATTGGATATAATTGATTCTTTATTGTTGTCTTGACAACTATGATGATGATCATGATCATGATGATAATATGAATATGGTAACTGGGTGGTAGTGGTGGTGGTGGTTGTATTCGGAGATGACATGATCTCATCATTGGCATCAACACTATCATAAGCTAATAATAAAGAACTTGCATAGAAATGATAACAATTTTGATTTTCAAACCATTTAGCTAATTGTGTTAATTTTTTAACAAATTGATTAGCTAATCTTTTTGCACGATTTACATCTGGACCAAGAAATAGACGAATACCTTAATAAATAAAAAGTAGAAATATAACAAAAATCGATAAATAGAAATACATATTTCAATGTTGAATCGATCTATGTTAGACCATCATTTAAAATGTGGAAGTAATAGACGGTTGTTTCGTCTTAATATGAGACTCGTCAGTTGTATGCGCCCATATCACCGCACGTGGTTTCGTACACGAACGCTCCACCCTTAAACAACTGGGCTGGTATCCAACAGTATTAATCTCTAACTTTAATCAATCTACGATACTCCGAGAACAATTTCCATTGTCTACGCAAGATACTCAACATCCATTGGCGGGATACCATCAGCAACAGACTTCTGTAGGAGAGAACAAACCAGCTTCCAGCTGAAGAAGAAATTAGTCAAAGACGATGGAAATGGACAGGACATATATTACACAAATCATCAAGCTACATCACGAAGCAAGCCTCGACTTCGAATCCTGAAGGGAAGTGGAAAACAGGAAGGCCAAAGTACACATTACATCGGGAAATAGAAGCAGATATGAAAAGG